CCCCCCCCCCCCCCCCCCCCCCCCCCCCCCCCCGCGCGCCGCGCACAGATCTTCGTCATCCAAGCTTCTCGTCGCCTTGTACTACAGGCGCCATCGCTGTTTTATCGCTGTGTTTTGCGAGCGCCGCCATCTCATCTTCTCGCCTCCTTCGACATTACTCGCCATCAAGCGTGTTCTATGTGCGCCGCAATCTAATCTCGTCGCTGCCTGAAACCTCCGCCACTATAAACACCGACGACCTTCCTATCGTGCGTCGCGCCATCGTTTCTTCTCGCCGCCATCTGCTTTCGCCGCCATCAACCACCACTCGCCGTGTGGTACTGCGCGGCATGGAAAGATCTTCTCACCGCCATCTCCGAGGTCGACAGATCCACATTCTTCTTACGCGCCTTCCATTCCATCTTCAACACACGACATGCAATGTCTTCTCGCCCCGTTCCATCTCGGAGAGTTCTTGGGAAACAAGTCAGTGAAGGCGAGGTCGCACCGAAGAAAGGTCGTCACAATCCCACGAAGTGAAGAAGGGGCGTCCAAGGCGGGAAGGCCGCAGTTGGGAGAGAGGTGGAGGCAGATTGGGTGGATGCACAGGAGAGACAGGAGGAGGACGACGACTTCGAAGAAGAACAGGAACAGACTCTCGTGAGGAAAGTGAAGCAGAGAACGGGGGGTGCGATACGGATCGAAATGGGGGGGGTGGGCGCTGCGGAGGTGGCTCCTGATCAGCAGCAGACGCCGTCGAGTAAGCGGAGCGAATAGGCTGTTGGCGTGGCTAGCAGTTCCCAAGCTATGGTCGATCAGTCGACGATGCGTTCCCCTGTGCCGCAGCCGCGTGGGGGGGCAGTTCAGGGTGCGTCTGCCGTGGCGGACGTTGCGAAGGCAGGCGATGGCGGGGCGGAGGGCGAAGACGACAAACCGCTAGTGAAGAAGCTTCGCGGGCAACGTCCGGAGGCGAAAGCGATGGAGGTGGCCGCGAGGCTATGGACCGACGACATTCAGTTCTGGAATCAAACGCGCGGAAAAGAAATCATCAACATCATGCACGAAGCCCGAGTTCACCTCGTTGATGTGGCGACGAGGGTGCAGCCATCGGCGATCCGAAGGAGCATCACCCTCCCCCACAGTTCCATTCCGCAGAAGAAGATCGAAGACACCTCGGAGTTGAGGGCGGCGAAGGAAAGGGCGTTAAAGGTGGAGAGCATTGCGAAGAGGGCCATCCACGGCTGGATTTTCAAGTCCGACAGCAGACACATAGGGTATCACTTGGCGTACCAGTACGCCTTGAACCACGCGGTGACTGACATGGCGAGAGCGATGTGGGCATTGGAGGACTGGCGTTCATTAGTCAGCCCGATGGCGATTCGAGACACGCTGGAGTGGGTATGAAGCTCCCTTTGTGGTTCGTCGGAGCGAACGTGGTGGACAGGCACCAGGACGACGAGTGCGCGGCTTACCAGGAGGCCATCTCTCAACGTTTGGTGCGTGATTTCACGAATGTGGTGGAGGCAGCGCAGGGGATGGACTTGGGGCGTGTGTCTTACGAGCGCCTGAAGTCCCTGGCGGAGGCGATGAGGTACTTGCTGGCAGCGGCGGCGTGGATAATGAGGATGGCTGGGGACGACGCAAGATCGCACTTCGACGCCTGGGTTTTTGTGCAGTTGACGTCGAAGACCACCCTTCTTGCCGCCATGGATCACCATTTTGACTCCCATCATCATGTCTTGCTAGCCGCAACTGTGATGACGGAGAAACTGGGAAGACCGTCTCTGACCTTCGCTCCCCCCCCACTGTACATCCCCGACTGGGCATCGAAGTGCGACATCACGTTCAATCACGACGCGACGTTGCACTCCCCGATGGAAGCAACGAAGACTGATTGGCTCGGCACAGGCCCCCCTGAGGAGGAAGCCTCGGACGGCGACGATGTTGATGGTGCCGAGGGCGGGTGATAGTGGGAGTGGAAGTGGATGGACAGCCGGCGAGGGCGGGCTATCGTTCGTAGAAGGGTTTAGTAAACGTCGGGGGCGAGGGTGCGTCATCCGTGAGCACAAAGATCATGTCGATGGGGGAAAGACGAAGACAAAGGTGAAGATGGTGGCAATGCAACATGGACTGGATCGCCAGAAAGAGACCCCCTTTTTTGGATGATGACGTTGACGACGAAGATGATGATGGCGGCGAGGGCGGGTATCTGCAGTGGGGAGACTGTATCGATTGCGGTCGCGATGCCACCACCGTTGTTGCATCCTTTGCCGGGGCATTCACGCTGGGAGTCGTACTTCCTGTCCCTAATTTCCGTGGTTCGTTTTCTGTCTATTTTCCGTCTTGCACACCTACACCACCGACGATCGATCGGTTGGTAGTGCACCTAGTTTGCGTCGTTCGGTGTCTACTACTTAGGTTGTCAAGTGGACGGCACGTGTTTTATCTTATTCGTAGGAGGACAGACGCCTTTGTGTGTTTCGCTGTTAGCGCCGTGTATATCATTTCGTAATCGTCCTTCACTTTCCGTTTACGTTCTCTGCGTCCTCTTCCTGCATTCGTTGTGGATTATGAAGCAGCGGAGGCTTCGGTTCTGTACACACTGATTGTTTTTAACGCGCTTCGAAGTCATGTTCCTATTGACAAGGGAAAACAACGTTGTTCTTCTTTTTCATTCAAACAATGGATTCGTGTATTTTGTGGGCGATTGGATAACCGTCTTTGTTCTGGGCATATGTTGTGTTCAAGGGGATGTGTTATGTTAATGGAACAAGGGTTTTGTAATGTCCATGGAATGATGTGTTCATTGCTGACGTCGACACCGTGCATTCGAAGGATGAATTGTACCTTGGAAGGAACAAATAGAACGATATTTCGTGCATTCACGCATTCTGATCACACACACACACACACACACACACACACACACACACACACACACACACACTCACACACAAACACACAC